AAATACAGATACAAGTGTCAGGACTGCGCTGTATGTTGTCTTACGCAAACAAAAAAAGTACATATGTTATGCATATCTACACACATATTGTTCAGTGAGAAGACTCTTCCTGGATTATTTTTTAAACGCTGATTAACAAGGTACCTAAATAAAACTTCATATTGCATTTTTTTAAACAAAATATTCTGCAAGAGAAAGTTTAATTAGTTAATTGTAGGACAGATTCTTTGTCAGAACTCATCCTTTGAATTCTTGCAAGGATCTCCTCTCTCAGAAAGTTAATCACTCTCTGATCCAGTGAGCAAAGGAGGGGCACAGGATACGCACAGCTAGCGTAACATCAAACCCATCTCAGTGATGGCACACAAGTCATTTGGTATGTTTAATGAGGGATTTAACTAGCTACCTTAAACCTGCTTTAAAAACACTCACTTTTAGGGAAAGCATCTGCATCTGCAAACGGACCGAAAACTTTAACATACTTCACAACCACTCTGAAAAACTATACATGTGAGACTACTCCACTGTTAATTACAATTACCAGACACGGTCAGACTGGATTCCCTTCTGTTAAAAGGGAGAGATAAGTTCAGTACGTGGCGATCAAGACAGACTTTTTGGGTGGAAATCTTCTATTTCAAAATAAGACAGATCTGCTAACCTTTAAGACCTGCTACATGCCATTGACTGAAGCTTCTGCAGGAGAAAGAGTATGGAAGCAGCTCCAGCTTGCTTGTCTCAGGGCTGAAAATCGTGCTGCAGTAAAGTTCTTTTGGGATCTCCTGATGAGAACGTAAGTTTTTAGCAAAATCTGAAAAATACTCTGGTTGCAAGATTATTGGTTTGATATTGAAAAATCACATCTCCCGTCATTTTCCTGCAGGGAAGGACACTTCTGAAACTTAATAGACTGCATTGGTTGACAATTTCCTAAGAAAAATACTAGAGAGAACAACTAGGACAGTAATGTACCATTTGATATGCGGTTCATAAACAAGGAAAAACTGGTGATGAATACAGCCACAGGTGACAGTTTGCCTTCCAGCGACCACAGGATGACTGAGCTCAGGATCTCAAGGAAGGATGCAAAGTTAAACAGCAGAATTAGGATTCTGAACTTCAGGAGATGGGAGTTCAGCTTGTTTACACAACTGCTAGTCAGATTTCCCAAGTAGGCTATCATTAGAAAGAAAGGTACTTAGGAGAGCTGGCTGTGAAGAAAATTTATTTCGACCTCAAGAGCTAACCAGCCCACTGTACAGGGAATTTTGTCAGAAGAACTGCTTAGTGCACAAGAACTGCTCGGTGCACAAGCTTCCTAATTAATATGCAAAAATAAAGCATATTAGAAGTGGAAACAAGGATGGGAAACAAAAGGATATAAAATCATTGCTCTGGCACTTAGGGACAAAATTAGGAAGGCCAAAGCCCAGCCATAGCTAAAACTGGTGAGGGACGTAAGTGGATTCTGCTAGTAGCTGAAGAAAGTTCAGACAAAATGTGGGTCTGTTAACGAATGAGGGAAACAACTTAGGAATAGATTATATAGAAAGGTTTGAAGTCCTCAGTATCTTTTTTTGCCTTGGTCTTCACAGGGAGAGCCTGATCCCAGTTCTGCATGTGTACCAGCATGATTTGGGAAGGAGAGGGATGACCAGCAGCCAGGGAGCAGGAGGTTAGGGCCTACTGAGAAAAGCTGGACATATTCAAACCTATAGGCCAGGCAGAATTCACTAAGCTGAAAGCTTATCGCCATAATCATGGTGATTATGGGAGGTGCCTGATGACTGGAAAAGGGTAGTGTGTTATGCCCACCTTTAAGAAAGATGAGAAGGATGACCCAGGTAACTACAGCTAGACAATCTTCCCTAGCTCCCTGGAAAGATGGCAGACCACGTCATGTCCCTTGGCATCAATTTCCAACTATGTGAGGGACAAAAACGTAATCAGGAACAGGCAATACCAATTTACCAAAAGCAAATTATGGTTGAGGCTAGTAGGTGATCTAGTAACAGCCTATACCATTTGAATAGTAGTTACAGGAGTGATGGAGCCCAGCTCTTCTTGGTAGTGGCAAATAGTATCCCAAGGAGCAATGGTCACAAGTTGTTGTTTGGTAGGACTTTCAGAAAAACTTCTTCACTAGGTAAATAGCGTAGCACTAGAAATAGTTATTGAGAGAGGCTGTGGAGACTGCACGCTTGGAAATTCACAACCCAACTATACAGAGCCATGGCTTGACCTGGTATATAGTGTTGGCAGTTAACCTGCCTCCTGCATGAAGTTGGCCTAGACACCTCCAGATGTCCCTTCCAACCAACGCTGCTACAACTGTGTAAACAGTCTGATATTTTTTAGGACACTAAAGAATGCTCCTGAGGAAAGTTTATTTTCCAGGTTTTGTAAGTGCACCCTGTACTAAACAATGGAGTGACTCAGGAGACAGATGATGGGACATACCCTTTAGTTCACATCTAGCCTGCTTCAACCAGTAGTTCTTAAACATACTTGACAACTGTGTAACAGACTAGGAAAAAAGGTCTCAGTCCATAAGACGAAATCATTCTGTTGCAAGTAGCAAAAAAGAAACAAAGTACTGAATTTGCAGAATAACTTACTGTTTTGCAGTAATATAAGCATTTCCTTCCCCACAGAAATAGGAAAGTTTGTACTTCAAAGTTTGTACATCAGCAACTGTCTGATGCCCAAGTTGTACTTATTGTCCCCAGTAAATGGTGGAGTTGTCTGTTCAACATTTCCAAAAACCCCATCAGAAACATCTCTTACTAAAAAGGCACGCATTTCTCAGACCAGAACTTTACTACCTAACATTTTTCAGGAATGCAGAAGACGTGAATTGACTGTCGATTTGGTTACTACTGATCACATTAGTTCCTCTATGATCACTGAAGACCATCTATGTCAAAACACGCTTTTCATCTTGTCCAGAGTAATACATTGTACTCCCAGTATCTAATGAATTTATGTTGCTTCTTAAACCATTAATATCTGCAGATTTCACTTGTGCAGTTTTGAATTATGGCAATCAGTAGTACAAGGCAAATACCAAAGGACAGTTAAAATCGTTGTGTTTTGTGGTAACTACTTGGATATGACTGAAGAGCCATACCTGTACTTCAAAAAAAAAAAAAAAGTTTAAATATTTTCTAAAAGCCAAAGTGTAACATAATTTATCAGAGTATCTTCCTGAATTCTGCCACAAACGGATCATCTTTTCCTCTACAGACATAAGACTTCCATATCACCACTTGAAGTTTTTAATTTTCCTTTCCATCGTTGTAAGCTTCATATTTTGGCAACTAAACTTTGCTTTAAAGACATACCACCTTCTTTCCTGCAGTTCTACTCAATGACCCAATCATGTGGCAGCTTTTCTGTGAGGAGACCTGTGCAACTATATGGCAGCTCAATAAAATTCACGTCCGCTAATCTGGGGACTAGGTAGTAACAGCTGTCTCAGTGAAGAGCTCACAATCTACCAGTGAACAAAAGAAACAGATGCTGCTGAGAAAAAAATGCTCCTTCTGGCAGTATTGTTTTGTAATGGGAGCAAAAGTAAATAAACAAATAAATTATCTAAACAGAAAGATACCATAATAAACCAATTTTTCTTTCCTAAGTCTGAGCTGATTTCTGATGCAACATTTTTCCCCTCACCCCAACATTTTAAAAGTTACTACTGTTCGTTAAACTTCAACCATTAAAAAAATTAACTAATGCTGGAATTTTTCCATTTTCTTTAAAGGGGAAGATAATTTCGTAACAGCTGATATACCTCTCTCCCTCCTGTTTTATTTCAAGTTCTTATAAGGACACTTTGCTTAACTTCTCTCCTCCTGAAGTTAAATTCCTTTACCAAGTAACCCAAACCAGAAGAATAATACCACAAAACACATTATAATCCTTAGCTGATACTAGACTTGGAAAACATCAGTTCAACACTATTTTTTTTCCTCAAAAACTAAACTAAAAATATTATTATTGTAATGGCAAACAACATGATCTTTGTACTATTAACAAGATATAGGAATGATAGGTTTTAATTCTCTATGTGCTTGACATAATAGGGACATAACACCATAATGTAAAAATTAACAGTGAAGACAACAACAACAACTGCAAGACCATCACCGCACAGAAGTGACAGGAAATGCTAAGACAAGGCTTTTGACTAATATTAAAGATTTAAAAATGAGAAATCTTTCAGAAAATATAGTTCCCCTTACTCTTCTCTTAGAAGAATTCAAATTTTATTTGGAAAGACACCAAATTCTCAAGACAGTCCAAGCAAACTATCTTCTATTCAGGAGTAAATGTAAAAAATTCAAGCGTGTAAGTAACTTAGCTTGTGGAAGCAAGCCAACTGAGTTTGGTAGGACCGTTCACACGTTTAATATAATTCCTACACACAAATGGTTTAGCAGGATTAGGAGCATAAGACAACCTGAATAATTTTTCCCGAGTCAGTTTCATTTCATCCGAGATCTACTCCCTAAATAAATACTTTGCCAACTTTCAAGTATTTCTATGCATTGTGCCATGGAACACATTACAGAGAGATGTCAGCCAGTACTGACCAAACTGGTGTATCCATCATGCATGCTGCCAACAGATACATTGGCTCAAGTTTCAAAAGCACGTATTATATTATCAAAATACCACACCCGACCTAACGATCTTACTTGAGATCAGCCAGGCCACAATGATACATGTTTGGTGCTAGAGCCAGCGCAATCACCACTAGCTTAGGGGAAAGAAAAGGGGTGTCTTTATTCTGCAGGGTGTTAAGCAGGCTGGACATGCCCTCAAGATGACCCGAACGGCAGTTCAGCGTCTAGGAAACACCACCAGAAACTGCACAGCATTTTATACAACGCTTCAGAAGTAAAGAAAAACCAGCACAGAGATCACATGAAACACGTAACACTTCAAGGAAGTATCGCTTACAAAGGAGGGATGTTTTGCACTGGACTACTTACAGGTATGGAGGCACTCGGTTACTGTGGTTGGCTTGATGAGATAGCCTTTGCAGATATAGCAGGTGATATGAGGATTGAAATCTTTCACCAAGTGCTTCCTCTGAGTAGCCATTCGTGGGTAGGGAATGCTGGCAGAGCGCTCGGGCCAGAGGAGCAAGTCGGAGAGGCGTCGATGCCCACGGTTCACAAGAGATGCGGCGCTGCTCTGGGCAACTGGACTTCTCCAGGCATTTGCTCTGAACTCCGGAGGGCTCACAGGGACACGGCGGCTGCCTCCTGCTCCTGTGCCAGGCGAGGCATCTTCCTACCTGTGACACACGTGGAAGGAGAGAGGTGCGTGAGCCCGGCGGCACCAGGCCGGCGG